TGGGTCCCACCTCTTTTAAACAACCCCCCCACCCCCCCCCCCACCCCCACCCCACCCCCCCTTTAGAAAGTTTTTGGAAATGACCTTTATGGGGTTTTTATTCATTCAAATTCAATTTTAAAATTCTTATAAATATCTGAAAATCACATAAACAAAAATACTGTTGAAAACAATATTTTTGGGGTTTCTTAAAAAGTTTAGTAGCACATAGAAATACCTTTACAAGTGGATTGGTACCTAATAAGTCAAAACACATGCCTGTCAGGCCATTCCGTGTCAGGATCCATGATCCACTACTGTTTTCTCAAACCAACCCAATGGGACCCATGACTCCCAATCATGTGCAGGGGCTTATGATTGGCCCGTCAAAGCTTGCCAATAAACAGTAGAACCATAGTTCTAGTATATGGTAACAGGTTCCCCTAAGAGCAAGTCAAATGTACATATCACTATAGTGCAAGGGGAAGTCTCTTTGTGCAAATGTACACGTGTCCCTTTCTAAGGTTGCTTCATAAAAAAAAACGTAGTTGTCATATGTACATGTCGTGCGGATGTTTCGTTGAGGGCTTGGCCCTTGCTCACACAAGCATCTCTCCGACCTCAACAAGTGATGACCCTCTATAAAACCCTCAACGTAGTGTCTATGCCTAGCTGAAAGGGTTTTATGCTAGCCGAAAGGGTTTTGGACAATTACCATAGACCGCCCATCCCTAGGTCAGTCAACCATCATAGAATCCTACTGAAGTGCATAATTCACTATCATTTATTGTATTTACATTCTCTCATGGACTTTAAAGGCCACAAACCCCAACATTTTATACTTGATTTTCGTTGTGACATTGTTACTTTTTCAAGGCAATAAACAGGTTATCATTGTTGTTGAAATAGGGGTACACCCTCGGATTTCTCATTAAGTACACTTCGTAAGCATTGAAAGCACTACACAGTAGGAAAAGAGCCCGTGCTTAAGTGGTTAATGCTTGACGATTTGCAACGCTACCTCCTAGGCTCAATTCATACCGACGGTTGGGGCCCTCTCCCCACTAACTCACCAAAAAAAAAAAGCACTACATAGTGCATTAGCCAGTCAAATATATAATCGTGGCAGCAAGTTTCAGAGGTAAAGTGGCTATAAAGCTATTCGCTACACATCCAACAATAGCCAAAAAAAAAGATGGAATAAAAGGATCCAAGATTCACCATTCAATGCCACATCAAATAGTTCGTCCCCCCCCCTCCCTCCCCTGCCCCCCAAAAAAAAAGAAAGACACCATGGATTTATCATCAGATCACCTATCTATGAATCATGAAAAACCGTAAATTTTGGTTATAAAACTTTACAAATTTGGCAACTTTCATGAAAACCAGATCAGATTAGGAGCAAATGTTAGAAAACGACACTTTCCTTCAAAAAACATATGTTAGAATAGTATCATCATAATCTTCAAAAATAGATCTGTTAGGGTTTCTTCTTGTCGTACACTCTTCCAGTTGTCTGGCTGTACTGGTAAACCAGCAGTTAAATGGCCAGAGTTCTCAGCACTCGACTCTTACTTCTTCAGATTTGAACCTTGCTCTGAAACCAAGTTGAAAGCTAGAACCTAGATTTATGTCAATCGCCAAGTACTAGTTGAGTATATGAGAGAAGAGAAAGGTGTGAAGGGAAAGAGGAAGACGAAGATGTGGTAAGAGAAAAAGGAGATGAAAGAGAGAGGTGTGTGAGAGAAATTGGAGAGGAAAAGGGGACGTGATTGCCTTTTGGGATCAGTCACATCGCATATATTTATTGTATTGATATGAAAATTACAAGAAATGCCCTTGCGTAAGTAAATAACTCACACAACCTTATTGAGAAAGATATTCCATTTGTGTCTCTGACTTACTACAGCACATTCAACAACAATTTCTCCATTCTAAATCTCTTTGAAGGAGCTACCTAGCTGCCAATACATGCAATTCCAAGCCTCTGAGGTTCTAATGGAAGTAAAGCCACCTTCCATATTAAAGCACCACTTATCAGGAGCATCATGAATAAAAGAACTTGGATATTGTTAATTTCTTGCCTCTTTGTGATGACTTAATCCGTGGCTGAGCCAATGTATTAACAGGGTGGTTTTGTCCACTATAAGCTCCCTATTGTCTTGAACAGCCCAGTATAGAAAGTGGTCCGGTTTTTTCTTTGCTAATTTTTAACTTGTGACATGAGAACTTTGTGAGAAGTATTTCTTTTCTCGTGAAATGGAATGAGAATACCTTGTATATTGTGAATGTGAGTTGCAGCATATCATTTTTCCGTTCTAAAAAAAAAAGGTTTTGCTTATGAAAACAAATGATATATTGGTGAAATTTCATCTCTGCACTAGGCAGTTGAGGGTACCACAGTCTAATCTTTGACTGGCTCCTCAAGATGTGTCAATCAAATTTAAGTTCAACAGTTGCTCTCTATGCAAACCTGGCAAAGGCGGCATGAGTGGCATATTCAGGGAGTCCATGGGGGCCCGTTTTCTATCTTTTCCAGGTTCATTGTGGTCTCAGACTCATAAAAAGTGGAGATTCCTCCCCTATTAGAAGGCTTGAAACAATTTGAAGAAAGGTCAGGACTCAAGAGGTGAAAGGTGATTTCAAGAATGCCATCTGATGGGCATCTAGGCAGACAAACTTTCCATGGTATTTGGAGATGATATTCGAACAGATTTGGGAGATTTCCCATAGATTACAAATCCAATATGGACACAAATGGCACGAAGCCAACTCTACTTTGGATGCCCTTTGGAATCTCCAGGCCCTCGGCTTAGGCTGGGTGGTGTTCTTGTTTTTGTTCTTGACTGACTGTAAAAAGTGTATATTTGTTTGACTCCTGAATGGGCAGGGAATTTTATAAAGGGGTATACTATTAATACTAAAGTCAATTTTTCTAAAAAACATTCCTCACTACACACATTGGAATATAGCAGAGCACACGAAATGATGAATAAAAATAGCTGAACTATCCTCAAGAACCTTGTACATTTTATATATTGCTAAAATCGTTGAGTGAGCTTATGAATTGAGGAGAAACAGTTTGTTAGGATGGAATGTCCATCTATCATAATAGTTTTGATGAGTGTATTCATTCTTTGTATATGGCAATGAAGCTTAGTCATGAGAAATGCCTGCGGGAGCAGGATATGTGGTGTTATAAAAAAAAATTAAAAAAGAATTCCCTTAGGCCTAAAAATTGCCTAAAGCTAGTAGTTTTGGGAAGACCTCCTTGGTACAAGGTTCCTGCAACTAAGTGAGCTTGACTATGTCTTGTGTCAAAAATATGGTTACGACTTCGATTTGATCTAACTCATTCCTGTAAAACTCGAGAACATAAAAATTTAGAAGAAAATTTTATATGAATTCTTCTTATAATGTAGTATATATAATTAAATATCCCAAAGAAATTTTTTATGCAAAAATCATTGGGAAACAACAGGATTATCACAACTGTTCCATTTCCACAGGAACTAAGTATTGTCTTGAAAGTGTGAAATTGTTCATCATCATCATCATGACCTTCTCAACTATTTGGGGTTAGCTACCTGAATCTTGGCCTGCTAGTCTGCTCTATCAAGGGCCATTCCCTTAGTGAGACCATTTGTCTTCATATCTTTTCTCACTACTTCCATGCATGTCGTTTTGGGCCTACCCCTTGCCTTTTTTGAGCCTTCCACCTGAATCAACTCGTACCTCCTAGTAAGTGCTATACTGGGATTGCAAAATTGTGAAATTGTTATATCTTGCTATTTTTCGTTGCATGGGTTGTTTGACAAAAGACTCAAATGTAATGCTTTTAGTATAGTATCGATTGTTGACATGCATTTATAGCATTCAGTACTTTCTATATTCTAGCATGTATATTTTTCAAGGGGAATAATTTCGAACCTGTCTTCACTTAATTTGTGGCTGTTAAAATCATCATTGTTTTCTCATCCATGATCTATAAGGTGAATTATCTACATTACTTTCTTAATCTCTCCAACAAATTGTTTATTTTTCTATTTTTTGATGGTTTTCCAATGAAATTTACTTGAAGACATGGCATTTTGATATGCAGATGAAATCTTTTTAACTCTGTTTCTTGAGGAGGTGGTTCTTTTTTATACTGACCTGATTGAGTGTGCTTCGGTTGTTCTTGCCATCACATAAGTTCACATCTGGCATTTGATGTCGATCCCAACGTTTTGTAAGGTTAAGTGTCTGATCCTGTGGTAATCCAACCATGTAGCTTTGACAGCTGCAGTCTTAGCACAAAGCCATTTGCCACACTGTGGCTTCAGCAACAACTTCTGGCCACTTAATAGGTTTATGGATGCTCTTCTGGAGGTTTTTGCCAAACTCCTCTACAACTCAGCAGTCATGAGTAAATGGCCATCCTAGATTGATCCCTTAGTGGTAGAAATCATGCTAGATGGGAAGCCATCACACTCCTGAACATTGCTGAACATAACTTAAGTTGATTCCTTCGTAAGATTTGACCATCCAAAGTGCTTCAGAAGTATTGGTGCTTTGGACAATTTTTTGCACCCTCTAACCTCTGTTTCTGTATCTTCTGGACATCAACCCTTGGAGTGTGACTAAAGGTACCAATTCCATTACCATGATAGACTAGGCCAAACAAATACCCCTACTATATTTTCTCCATATTTGATCCCTAAATGTTGGTCTAGGCAATGGGTACTTCACTGCATCCATGAGGGTTTAAGAGGGAATGCTTATGACTAATTTTTTTTCTTGAGATGTTTCATTTCTCATGATATAAGTGTCTGGCATTTATTTGATGTTATGTAATTGTGACATGTGGACTGATTTAATGCCAGATATAGTTGATGGACCAAGGTTCAATTTAATATTTTCCTTTCCTCCCACTGGTGTACTCAGAAACTTTTGGATCGAAGCTATTTGCTCTGATTCCGTAATTGTGTTTCTTCATTTTTCTGGAAGTAAATGACATGGTTTACCCTTTCTTTCCCAAGGTTCTGGGTTGCTGTACGTATCAAACAACTCTGTTTCTCTCATAAATTTGGATGGCCTGCTGATGTGGAAGGGTTGGTCGCGGAGTCTAAGTTGATGGCATGGGCATTGCAGTCTGATAGTCAAGATGATTTATGCAATTCTCTCCTGTCTAATGAACCATGTTGGCAAGAAATGAGGAATTTGGGTCTGGGTTTTTGGCTTACAAGTGGAACTTCTTTACGTGCGAGGGTAAGATTATAATTAATTATTGTATGGGCTTTGGTATTTTTAATATATGTTGGATTTCTATTGATGATTATTGTGATGCTATCTCAAATGGGGCAGATCTGTGGTCGATTTTTGAATCTCATATTTTTTTTGTTTGTTTTAATATATTTAGAATGTCGGACATTTGAACATTCTTAAACCCACAAAGTTGTTAACATATTTTGCTTCAATAAACAGCCGTGCATGACTTTAATCATATACTGTAATGATGATATCCAGTCAACAAGATCGTGAAAAGTGCATAGGTTGAATGGATGCCAACGTAATTGGTAAACAGTTTCTCTAAAAACGTAAGGCATTTTGAATAGCTATGTTCACCTTATTTGTGAGAAGTTGTATAAATTTGATTGGTTCATATTCATTTACAACCATGTATGAGTAATTCAAGTTCATTTCAAACTTCAAATGCATCGCTTTTCATTGGTTTAGCATGAATAATGTTCTTAAAAAGTCCCAGATTTGAATGGGTGGTATGATCGTGGGTATTTTCTGTACTTCTAAATTAAATTTTTATAAAGTCTGGATTAACAAGTGAGTGCTTTCAATATATGCTTCATTGATTGTGTATGTAAGTTCACAGCAGGTTTATCTCGAGACAGTTCATATATCCTACATTGATTGTGTATTAAATTTACATCGGGTCTATCTTGTGACATTCTATTATCTCTCTCTCTCTCTCTCTCTCTCTCTCTCTCTCTCTCTCCCCCCTCCCCCCCCAACCTTCCTATGTGTCTGTGTGCGCGCGTGCATGCGTGCATGTGAAAGGCTACTACACTACCTGTTTATATCTTGCAGGGATATAAACAGGTCCCTCAACTACCTTACATCGACAATGGATGGTTGTGGGGTTCATGCCTCTACTCAAATATTGTTGACATAGGATGGTTGAGTACCTGCTTATACCGTGTGGGTTATACAGATCCAATGTGTGTGTGTGGTGCGCGCACAAAATGTACTTTAATCCTAAAATTACTTATACATTATATTGTGATCCATCATATCATCCATAGTCCTTGGTGTTATAAATTCTTATCGTGCATGCTTGCTCACACGTAGAAACACACGTCTTTGTGTGTGTATTGGATATAAACATACTACTGCATTTGTTCTCTACCAAAGTGCTATTCTTTTTCTTATTCTTTGTACCATGTCTGTGTAGATGGAGAAGCTGGCAAGGCTACAATTTTTGAAAAGGAAAGATCCAAAGGAATGTGCACTTCTGTACCTGGCACTGAATAGACAACAAGTTTTGGCTGGATTATTTAAAATTAGCAAAGACGAAAGGGACAAACCCTTGGTTGGGTTTCTTTCGCGGAACTTTCAGGTTTGAGGATTTTGACATGTAAAAGGTCCCTTTCTATTTTAACTTACACCTTCATGGATTTTCTTGAAAAGCTTGAGTCCAGATAGAATGCATCAATAGCCTGGATTTGACTGCTTATATTAATCTAGGGTCTGAATTCATTTGAATGTTTGAGTACTGAATCGTTTCCATCTAATTTGTGTGTCATGACATGAAATACTTGGTAGCTCTCTTTGGTGGTAGCATTTTCTAGATCTACTTACCCACTTCCTATTTGATTTACAAGTCCTGTTCCTTTCTTTTTCATATGATCATTTTAAGATTGGAAATAACTCCTAAACTCACTAAGAAGAGCTACTGCCATGCAATCGTTTCTTTTTGTAGTTCCTTTATTTTTTTAAGTCGCACATTCATTGCTTTATATGTTTGTTCTTCGTGCTGCAAATCTGTGCATATTCATGGTATGTAACTTCCCACAACGATTTAATTTATGCAACTATGCTTTTCTCATGTGTATTTTTGTTATTCTCTATGAACTGATTTTCAGGAGGAAAAGAATAAATCTGCAGCTTTGAAAAATGCATATGTTTTGTTGGGGAGACATCAACTGGAGCTTGCAGCTGCTTTCTTTCTTCTTGGAGGTGATCTTTCTTCTGCTATTGCTGTCTGTACCAAAAACATTGGAGATGAACAACTTGCGCTCGTAATATGTGAACTTGTGGAAGGAACCAATGGGCCAGTGCAGCATGAACTTATCTTAAATTATTTATTGCCCTCCGCTATCGAGAAAGAGGACAATTGGCTTGCTAGCATGTTGGAGGTGCATGAGTTGTCATCGATTAATGCAATGCTCTTTATAGCCCAGCTTTTTTGTCTCATATCTATAATTGTGAGAACTCATTATCTTGTTTAAATTGTTGTGTTTGTGCAGTGGAGGTTAGGGAAATATTCTCAATCGATACTGCGCTTGCTTCATGTGGCAGTTGACTTAACAGTTGAAGAAAAGATATTAGATCTTCCTGGAACTCACTCTGCTTTCTTAGACCCAGATGTTGGTCAGTACTGTGCAATCCTTGTAGCGAAACGGTGCTTGAGGAATTCCATTGGTGAATCTAGTGCTGATACATTGGCAAGATGGGCTATCATAATGACTTCAAGTGCTCTAAACAAATGTGGACTTCCTGTAAGTGTAATTAGTCTCTTATTTCTAGTTCCCATCTCACATATGATCAGGATGCCGCTTAGTGCTTTGATATTTGTGTTGCTTCAGTCCCACATATCAGTTTGTTCCAATTTTTTCATTTTGTCATCCCCACCCTATTGTGACTGTCTTCTAGGACTTCGGATCAATGTTTACAGCAGTGGTTATGGATACTCTAGAAGCATGAGCATCAAGTGGTGTGTGCTGCTCCTGCATATATATTAATCAATAGTTGTCTTCATTTCCTAAAAGTTCTAAGATCATGATGAAGTATTTAAGAAAATATATTTTTGTTTCTGATAAGAAACAAGTTATTTATTCATATCCAAAATTGTAGTACAATAGGTTACTCTGAAATATGTGGACTACACAAGGGTTCAACTGAAGCACCAGGGATGCAGTTGCCTACTCATTCGGAGACGATGTTTTCTTCTCTGTATGGTTTTGTGGGATTCCTCTTCAACCACTGGATTAGAGGGAGGTGGGCTTACCTGGAGGTCTCCTTCGTCAAACCTCCTGGCCTGGTAACCCCCATCCTCACTCACCAATTTCTAATATGACAGTTGAGAAGGACACTCTCACAAAACCATATATGAAGGATCCCCGACATGATTATTTTGTGGTACACACACTCTTTTCTTTCATTATTTTCTTATTGAGATTTTTCAGGGCTGTTTGAATCCTGGGATTACCATAAACTTTTGTGGCTTGCTTTGTTTGGGGAGCAAAACCTGGATGCAGATTCAAATTATCCTTAATAATTTTGGTTAAATTCATACAATCAAGATATAAGTAGGGCTTTAAAAAGCTATAAATTGTTTTTTGGTAATTCTCTGCTGTATTATGTGATATCTATGGATTGTTTGCTTGGTTATTCCGGTTTTCTCTGATATATGTCAGTTTCTGCTATGGGATATTAACTCGATCAATCTCTTCTAAATGCCAAGCTTGAAGCTCTGGGTTGCCTTTCCCCTTCTATCAGTAATTCTGATGGTAAAGAACCAAGTGTATATTCAAGCAACGGATCAGAACTGAAATCTACATCAAAGGATGCTTCATACAACTGGCTCTCGGGAAGTTTGGCTAGCTGTTTTGAGTCTCATGCTAAATTAAATTTGGCAATGCAATACATTTCAAAAATTATACGTGAACATCCAAATTGGGAAAGATTCAAGTTAGTGTCATCATGTATACCATCAGGTTCAATAAAGAAAGTGGCACTCATCAATTCATTCCTCTACTGGAAGAACTAGAGAAGAAGCTCAAGACCGGGATTTCCGTTCTTGATGAGAGGTATTCAGTGAAGGCCACTGACTTGAAGACTATGGTAATGTTTTGGTGCATTAGTTTGGTTACTTCTTGCTACTCAGAAATGGCCTATTTTCCCTTTGTTATTTTCCATTTGCTCGTAATATCCATTTCCTTGTTCATTTATGAGGGCTGCTTACCTCTTTCTGCAGATGTTCGTCTTTTCCTGCAATAATGGGATGTTGTTTCTTGGATACCACGTGTTGCAATGCCTGCTTTTCCCAAAACATACACATGACCTGTTTAACATTTCTGATAGTGTTGCTTCGGTTCAGCTGGACCTTCTCCTAAAGGCTGCTGAAGAAATATGCAATGGGTTTGCTCACTGTGTTGTTGGATATAACATTACTGTCTCTGCATTTATTCCTGCTCCCAAACTTTCAGATGGATGTCGGCGAAGTAGCATTACCCAACTTAATGCTTGGGATTTTTATTTAGAGAGCCTTCAACATTCTCTTGGGACCCTTAGACTGTTTCTGAAGGTCTTGAATTCCAATGGTTTATTGATAGATGACATCACCTTGAAGGCATCCGATGTTCTAGACCATCTGGAATACTGCATCCGTTTTGCTTCAGCATGGTTGAGGAGGAATCCTGAAGATCTTCTGATGATGAGTCAACCAATTTCAAATGGACTCAATGGAATACCATCTTCTTCTGAATTTAATACAGCTCCTCTAAGAGTGAATTTGGTGGTGCATAATGATTCGTTTGCTGTTGACAACGAGCTTCCTGTTTCTGCCAGCAGGCCACAGCTTCACAATTTTACTGATGCCAGAGTACACTTGGTTCCAAGTGATGAAAGATGGCAACTGATTGGGTGTTGTTAGTGGAGACGCCTATTCGTTTTTACTAAAGCTCTCCTATGCAACCATGCAGGAAAGGACTCTTAAGACTGGTGATTCTTCAGATGTACTACTGTCTGGAGAGCCTTCCCGGTGTTATAGTTTTGGAAGAACCCATTCCCTGAAGCCAATTGATTTGCTGCCAAGCTTGTTGTCTGAATTACTCTTGAATGCATTAGCATATACTTCATCTGGTCTGAACAAAGAGTTTTCCTTCTTCATCAGGCTGAAACTAGAGAAGGATTTACCTGTTCTTGCTCTTGCTTGGCTGCAGGATCCAGGCTCTTCATGTTCTGGAGCTCTAATCTGTTAAAAGAATCAAGAAATTGGTAAATCAGAAATGTTTCCCAATGAAAAGAGTGTGATGCCTTGTGATATACTTTGGAATGTTTTTGCTAGCCAGGAAGATGTACGTGAAATTCTTACAAAAGAGAAAATCAAGTTTTACCAGACTCTTGGTCGCAAGTCGCCTAGAGGCTGGAAAGATGTACAGATATGTATCATAGCAAAGGACGAAAATGATGATACTATTGGACATCACCAAGAGGGAGGAGCTAGAAATATTTCTGATGGGAGAAATTGGATCTTTGATGGCAACAGTTTTCTGGGAACCAAAAGAAAAAGTGTCAGCCCTCCCAGGGATAGGGTCTCTTCTTTCAATTATCCAAAGGAAGTATTCAAGAGAAATGGTGAACTTTTGGAAGTAGGTCTCTTTACTTAGTGGGTCACATCATATGAATGAGGGAGTTGACTTTGGGAGATAGCCTCGTTGTTATTTTTATGTTGATGATTCAGTTTCAATTCTGTGATTCTATTTCCATAAAAAAAAAACAAAAATGTTATGATACTTTCATTAGGGATAAATTATCTTAAAGGTATCTCTATATCTTATACCTTTAATTTTAACTTCAGGCAATTTGTATCAATTCCTGTGATCAAAATCAAGTTGCAGTTGCCAGCAACCGCAAGGTGAACATCCCTGCCCAAATTCTAGTCTCATGTTTGATTCCAAATACGGATTCAAAACTTTTACTCAATGCAAGCTTGGCACCTTAAAAATGTCTGTCACCCTTTCCAATGTATTTCATGAATAGAATATTCATGCAGAATATATTGGGAGCAAAAGTTTTGAAAGGTAGACTTAGGAAGTTCATGGTTTGAATCTTGGTACTCAAAATTCAATGACTACCAGTCCAAAGACTAGCTTATGGATTGTAAGCATTTCCTTGAAGACTTGGGGTACTATACATTGGATGAGAACATAAAATTTGGCAAATCAGAATTTCAAAAGATTAAACTTTGGATTGCAAACAACTCTTTGATGGCAAAAATGGTTCCTCCTATATCAATATAACCCTGAAATACAAATACTCCATTGGAAAAAGGATCCCCTATAACCAATGTCATAATTGCTTTAGGGGAGGCTTGCTCTTTTATTTGAAAAAGAGAGAAAATAAACTGAATAACATAAATGTGAATATGAGCATTGAACAATATCAGCAAAAATAAGGATAGATGGCTGAAAATTAGTTGCCCATTTCATTTTGTACCTCTTGAGTCATTGCTATGTATGACATACCTCTCTACCTTCATGCTGAATATTTTTTGGAATTCAAAGCAAATCTTACTTTACTACTCTTTTCTTGTTAGGAAATCTTGTGTGGTGGACAAAAAGGTGACCTATATGTGCGGTAAGTTAGAGACATATCAAAAAAGAAGGGAAGTTCAGTAGCATGAGATCGGTTCCTACAAGGAGTCTCTGCAAACTCTCCTTCGCGCAAGAGAGGCCCATGCCTATTTCCTTCTCTTGGAACATGATGAAAAGTTACAAATCTCACTGCCACCTAGGTCAAGTATCGCCTCCATGGATCAGATCCACTTCAAGTAGGGATTCTTCCCATCCATCTAATGACATTAAGAGGAGTCAGCTTCCACGAAGGCCAGCAACAAGAAAATTGAAAGGAAATCTCTATGCTGGACAGAATAGCCATGGCCTCGGGCATTGTAGCACCAAAGTACTGAACATCGTTGTTAGTGGCAGGAGCATGGGAGCGGGAGCAGAAGTGGCGGATCATTGGTTTCTAGGAGATCTCTAGTTTGGGCTCCATGATGATGCCCATACAACACATGTATAAAACTAAAGAAATTTTATAGAATAAAAGATTAATCGCAATTCTTTTAAAAATATTATATACCAAGTAATGTATTAAAAACAACTTTAATTATACTTGTAGGGGTTTATGGCCTTTAAAGGTCTATGCACTTTTTTATAAAAGATATTTTGGTATCCCCCATGTATTTGTACTTATGCATATTCTATTTATATAATTCTCTTGATTTGAGTGGGTGTGTTGGAAGGATGAAAGAGGTCATGTGAGTGAACCCTCCTTGGATGAAAGAGGCCATCAGGGGAAGTAAGCTCAACTTGAGTGAAAGAGACCATTAGAGCATCCATGAGTGGGCTAGATTTGGATAAAAGAGGCCATTGGAGCTGGAGTATACTTGAGTGAAGAGGATATTAGAACCGGTTGGAGCTAATTCTTATCTGAGACATGGTGGGTTTTGTTACTCTCACCTTGGCATGCGACTAGGCCCTGGTTAAATGAGTTGAACCACACCCTCGGCTGCATAGGCTTAGACCCTATGATGTGCATCTCCACGGAGGATTTATGGGTACCCATTCAACCAATGGTGGATCACTGTAGACCAAGTACAACACTTGTTAGGAGCTGCAAGTTAGTTCAAGTGGAAGGCTCAAAAAGGGCAAGGAGTATGCCCAAGGGACATGGTTAGAAGTAGTGAGAAAGGATATGGGGATTTATGGCATTACTAAGGGTATAGCCCTTAATAGTGCAGAATAGAGGATCAGGATTCGTGTAGCCCCCAAATATTTAGAAAAAATCTTTGAGGATGACGATAATGATGATTCAATCAGTGTTCAATGCAGATTCAAGAGGAAATCAAGACACTCTTGGGCGATGCGGGGCACAAGTAAGCGAAGACACTCTTGTCGGATGGCCAAGAGGAAACTCAAGAACTCTTTTCAAATTACTAGGAGGAAGCCAAGACACCTTTGTTGAATGGCTAGGAGGAAACTATGACACTCTTGTGCAATGGGATAGTTGCCTATGAGGACGAGTGCCTGAAAGCCTTGACATGACATCCTATGCAACATGCATGCATGACAATCACATTTGACCAAGATTGGTCAAATTCCTTATATGGGTCTTCATGTGCATGTACTTGAGAGAGGACTCCCACTATGTTGAGAGGGAAACCAAGACTCTCTATTGAAGTTTCTTTTTGACCAAAAGGTAACAAACTTGTCCTTGGAGAGTCTTCTAGAATCTGCAGCTATTTATGGTCCCTCCACGCATGAGCTAGCCATGAGCCCATTGCATGAGAGACATGTGGGTAATGGGTTTGTAGAGTAAGTTTCGAATCTATGATGTAGTCGTAGGGTAGTTATGTAACACCTGCTGAGGATCTAGTTCTGTTTCTGGAACACTATTGATTATTTTTATAAAGGATTTTCAAAAGTTCAACGAAATTAAAATGGTTTTATTTATTGTTGTTAACTGCCCATATTTTGTACTAATTGTTGTATTTAAACAGGAACATTTTTGGAACAAAAACAATGTTTTAATTTTGGGCTGTTCTTTGAATTATTAATTGTTTTTATTGGGAACAATTAGTTGTACTAAGACGGAGTATATAGAAAGCAAGTTTAGTAATAATAAGAGTAGAGACGAGGAAGTAGTTAAGATTGATAGCAAAAAAAACCAAAAAGAGTGCACTTTCAATATTTTGGGTTGATAATCTAGAAAAATGGAGAGATTGAGGAAGATGTCGCACATAGACTTAGAGCTTGGTTGGCTAAATGGTGATGTGCAACTGGAGTTTTATGAGATCGCTACATACAAATGAAGCTAAAGGGCAAGTTCTATAGGACAACTGTGAGACCAGCTTTGCTTTATGGGGCAGGGTATTGGGCAATCAAGCTACAACATACCCCTAGAATGAGTGTAGTTGAGATGAGGTTGTTGTGATGGATGAGTGGCAAGACAAGAAGGGATTGAATTTGAAATGAATACATTCTGGAGAAATTAGGTGTGGCACAAATAGGTGTTAAGATAAGAGAAAGTAGACTTAGGTGGGTTGGTTATGTGCAGTGCAGACCCAACACAACACCTATTAGGAGGTGCAAGTTAGTTCCAGTAGAAGGCTAAAAAAGGGCAAAAAGTAGGCCCAAGCAGACTTGGTTGGACTTGGAAGTAGTGAGAAAAGATATAGGGATTTATGGCTTAACTGAGGGTATGACCCTTGATAGAGCAGAATGGTGAACCAAGATTTGTGTAGCCGACATCAATTAGTTGGGAAAATGCTCTGATGATGGTGATGATGATGATTGTAAACAATTTAGAGGTTATATGTAGACATGTATGGGGGCCATTGTTGGACATTGTTCCTGTCCATGTGGGGTATGTCTGGTTTTGTGGCCTTTAAAGGCTTATGGAGCTTGTAAAAATGATAACTTTATAGTGTAATATTCACTTCAATGGGAGTGTGTATTGACTAACCATGGGTTGGGCAGTTTATGGCCCTGATTATGTCTAAAACCCTTACCCCTGGGCATGTATCGCTACCCAAAAGGGTTTACAGTGGGTCATCCCTTGTTGAGTTAGAGAGATGCCCAGAGATGATGTTTGTAGTCCAGGAGAACTGTGTGATCTCCTGTGTGTGATTGCGTGCCTGTGAGAGCAAAGGCCAAAGCCTCAACAAGCTTCCGCACAATATGTACACATGACAACCGCATTACTGGGAAACAACTCTTTAGAGAGATGTGTGTACACTATGGTCACAGTTGCTAAACTTGCTCTTAAATGTGGGAACTGTAATACACATTCCAGGATAATGTTTTCACTTTTCATTGTCCAATTTTGACAAGCCAATCATGAGCCCCTGCATTGAGACTATGGTTCATGGGTCTTTGTTGGTTGGATGAGAAAATACTAGTGGATCATGATTCTTGAGTTAAATGGAGTGCCCTTATTGTCGTTAATTTTGACCCTTTGGCACCAGTCCACTTCTAGAATATTTTATTTTGTTATTAAAAATGTTTTTATAATTTTTATAAATATCTCAAAATTTTAAAATTTTATTTCTGCTGTGAAATTCGTTAAAAGGGAAGTTTTGAAATTTTCAGAGCTTGAAAGGGCACTTGTGGGGACCTAGGATCTAGACCCCCACATGTGTATACCACCATGAGTAGGGCGTGTGGTCTTGAAGGGCCCTCATAAGGTCCCTAGGGTGGCACGCCACTTTTTTTGTTGTCTTATGTGCCATCTTTGGCTTAAAAGATGGTTAGATAGGAAAACTTTTTTTAAAATAGATTTGTTTCCTATTCGAATGGGAGTTGTAAAATAGAAATATTATCTCCTATTGATTTTGAAAGATCTATATAATATTAAAAGTGGTTATAATTTAAATTTAAATAGAATAATTAACAATTTAAAAAAAAAAATTAAATAAAAGTTGAACTTGGGTCAAATTATAAGGGGATAAGGTTTTTATTTTCCACCTGAAATCATAATGGTCAAGCTGAAAAATAAGATAAGGCATAACTAGATTGAATCCTGCTCTAAGTAAGACATAGATTTGTTTCTATTTAAATCTATTTGAATGGATCGCCATCTTCGTGGCACTTCCTTTTGTCACTTGATTCCTCTCTCACATTACAAGATCTCTCTCTCTCTCTCTCTCACGCCATATGATAGAGTACCTTGAGATTTAATTTGGTGGGTGTTAAAAAGAATGGAGTCTCCAAATACTATATCGACTTAGTGAGAGATATGTACGAGGGAGCGCTAACTAGTGCGCAACTAAGTAGTTAAGAGATGAATGAGTTTTTAGTGATAATAGGTCTATTTGTCGGCATTTAGCCAAATACCTATCTGTCTTAGTTATGG